TATTATCGTGTCTGGTGTTGGTGTAGAAATCGGTTTCAAAGACATTCACACTTGTAATCCAGGAAATGTGTTTATGAAATCAGTTGGGTTGTGAAGTGCAGTGTAGAGGACTCAGTAGTTGGTGACTGCATGAGATATCAAGATAGTGTGGCAGTAAAGAGAAGCATTGTAATTCAAGTTACAATCACTGGTTGGGACTGTTCATTTCAAGTTTAGAAGGTTTTTGCACTCCTCATTTTCAGGAGTTCCCAGAATAGCACCTGAAGAACATAATAATCTTCTTTCTGGGGTTCCCCCTCTTTTACCACTGTGCTGATTGGGACATTAGGAACCTTTGTCTCTTCCCTCTGCTGTATTCTCTCTTTGAATAAATAATCCAGAAAATTGAAAAGTAAAATCAGATAGATACAGCAGAATATAAGATACTATGACAGTGTTCTTCACAGGTTATTATGGTAATAAAAAACGAAAGCACACAAAGAGCTGCTAATATTTAACCTAAAATTAGTCAAAGATAAGCAAATATTTCACCAGCATAAGGATCCCATCCCCATGGATTATTCAACAAACTCAAAACCCCATTTTTTATTTTTACATATTCCAGCAAAAAGTTTAAAATTGTGGGGCAGAAATTAGTAACCATTTACAGAATATAGCCAAAAAAGAAAAACAAAAACCCAAAAGAAAACAACAAAGTTTCAACAAAAAAACCGCACCCACGTTCATCCCACGGATTCTTCGGACATTTCCAACTCAAACAATCTCAACATATATATACTCAACAATCTCAAAAATCAAAAACCCCACAACCCTCTTTCCCTTCCAAAACAAAAACCAAAAAAAAAAAAAGAAAAAAATCCCTTTTCTTGAACTATCTTGTATTGTTTTGCACCATAATTTAGCGGCTATTGTCGTTGTTAGCAACAATGCAAAATGGGATTAACCGACAACATTCTTTGAAGGAGAAGTTCAAATCTTCCCTATGCTGTTTTCCGGGAATCGTGCATCACGATTCCCTAGACCATGGAGAAGGGTTTTTCAACAAACTACGCATTCCTAGGACGCCGATTTCTCCTGCTGGGTCCACGTCATCCTTCTCGTGGTTGAAGCTACGGTCACCCACAAGCACCGAGTTAGGAAATGACCCGCAGACACGTATCAGGGGACGGAGCCTGAAGTCCCGCATGGGTCGCAAGCTCCTCCATCACCGTCAGTCACAGTCGGCAGACTTTAGCTACGACCCTTCGAGCTACGCCCTCAACTTCGAGAACGAAAGCCCCGAAGAGTTTCCCTTCAGAAACTTTAGCTCCCGGTTGCCGCCGTCGCCGCCGGTGGAGTATTCCGGCAACTGATTAATTGTTGAATCATTTGATTGGTTAATTGGTGGGTGCCGCGGGGATTAACGAATTAACGTTGGAATGAAAAAGGAAAATGTTTTTGGTTTGTGGTGAATTGTGAAGGTTCTCGTGTTGTGGCCAAACTTGCTTGTAGGCAAGACAATGGGTTTTATATATAAATTCATTACTTGATGGGTTTTAAGAAACTTTCTTAATTATCAACTTGTGATCGTTGTTATTAGTTCATTTCTTTATCCATTTCATGAAATCATTATTTCGTATGCAATTGGTGATTATCGCTTTGTTTGAATCTTACAAGGGTGAATATCCGAGCAACCTCCACCTGGGGTTTAGTAGAGGGTGAAAATTTGAGTATAATATTGGATTGGGTTAATTATGCTTTTTTTCTTGTTTTTTTTTTTGTGTCAAGTTTAATTTTAGTTTTTATATTTACAAAATAATTAATTTAATACTTTAATTTATTAAATATGATATTTTATTTTTTATGCTTTCAATATATATTTAAACTTAATAATAAGTTTATCTAAGAATTAAATTTACATATTTTTAAAAATTTGAAAATTAATTAATCAATTTTTAAGCATAAGGATTAAAATTAAATTTGTAAAAACTTAAGGATAGTAACATACTTAATCCTCTTGACTTAGTCAACTTTTGTGAGAGATTTTTATTTTTAGGGATTGCTAAAAGTAAACTAAAGAACAATAAGTTATTTATGGATATGATAAATAATAATTCATGTTTTTATATAAAAATAAAAATAAAAACCATATTTTTGAGATAAGGGTTTCAAGGTGCATTGATCTAGAAGAACAAATTCTCAGGTGATAAATTATGAGCAAATTTGGAAGATACATCTATAGAGATCGATCAAGAATCAAGATAAAGTCAAGTAAAAAAAATATATATGAAAATAACAGAGTAAAAATTTATATATTAATGAAATAATAAATAATATTAAATTTGTTAACAAATAATCTTATTTAATAATAAAAATTATTAAAAATCTGAAGTATAAAGTATATTATAATAATATTCTTAATTAAATAATCGAATATATGTATACATATATAGGGATCTTTATAATATATTAAGAAGAAAGTTATAATGATATTAATTATCATATATCTCATTCAATTTTATGTTATATATTTCATATGATATGACATTTTGAAAAATCTAATTGTGTTTTTATACACATAGCGAATGCAAAGACAGCAATGCAAAGAAATGTTTAATTTATGAAATATTTTTTATTTGTAAACAATGTATAATAAAATAATATGAAATTTATTATAACATTATAAGATTAATTATTTGAATACAATTTATATTATTTTTAATATTATAATATAACATATAATATACATATTTAATTTTTTTAATTTTTTAAATTCAAATTTTATTTTTACTTCCTTAAATTTTAAATTGATTTTTTAATTTCTCAAATTACGAAATAGTTCTTTAATTTATAATTTAATTGTTTAATTCCCTTGTCAAAATTGGTTTAGTATAATGTGTTAGCTCGAAATATCTAAGAAATATGTCAGGTTAAAAAGATCCAAGAAATAGATTAAGTTAGATAAAAGAAATTTGTGGTTTAAATTAAGTTAGATAAAAGAAATTTGTGGTTTAAATTGAATCAAACCTACTTTTGTCCGTTTATTTAGACATAATTTACATGATCGTAGTTTTCTAAGTCGATCTATTTTATAGAATAATAATTATTTTTTAATTAAAAATAAAATTAATATTAAATTATTAATATTATTATAAATTAATTTTATAAAAAATTCTAAAAATAAATATCTAAAAGTTACTTATTTTAATAATAATTAAAATTAATTATTATTTTAAATTAATAAATTACTGAAAATAAATAATAATAATAATAATAATAATAATGAAGAGTAAGTTTTTAATTTTTAATTTAACATGCATTTTTTCATAATTTATTACTAAAAAAATATATTTTTATTTTTATTAAAAAAAATTAATTAATTTATTTTGTATAGATGTGTCTATATATATATATATATATATATATATATATATATATATATATATATATTTAAATTCAATCAGGATAAAACTAATTTATTACTCTATTGACCTTCTTAACATAGGGTCGTAGATAAATTTTTGTTACCTGTTTTACATATAAATAAAACTCTGGATCATCCTATTTTGTTTACTTGATCAGATTAGATCAAGTTGGAGTGTAGTAGCTATAATCCAAAACTAATTTTGTTTAATCTCTTAATTTATATTTTCAGATGATTAATCTGAAGATAACTTATTTTATATTACAAACTTATAGTTAAAAACATATGTTTACGTGACTCTCAAAATTTTCTAATCATTTCAGAAATGCAATTTCTAATAATTTTGAACCTCCAATTTAGTAATGTAAAATGAAACATTGTTTTTACTAGAATTTTTTTTTTTGAAAAAAAAATCCTTAAAAAAGTGATAAAGTGCTTACAAAACTTTGAAAACTTAATGAATTATTTCCATACGACGTAAAAATTTACTTTTGGCAAACAAGTTTTTAAAAACTAAGTTTTTATGTTATTATTTTAAAATTTATATATATTTTTAGTCTCTTAATTTGATATAATTATTTTTTATCGTTAAAAAATATGTGTAGAAATTAATCCTTCAAAAAATACAATTCTATTTTAAAAAAAATACAAAAATAACCCTAAAAATAATATTTATCGTTTTTATCGTGTGACTGAGAGACGACACATTACAGACTGTAACATGTAATTAATGAATTTATATAAAATAAGGCATTAATTTTTATTTTTTTTGTTATAAATTCTTATTAAATCTGTAATGTTTATGCGAATGTTAGTGGTCCTTTTTGTCAGAGAAATACACGGGTAAATGATGAATTAGTTAGCTTCACGAAAAGGTCATGACTTTTATCTCCCCCGTAGAATATATAAGTGATTTGATGAATGAAAGTTCGAAAGATTATATATATATATATATATATATATATATATATATATATATATATATATATATATATATATATATATATATATATATATATATATATATATATAAAATAATTCATTAATTTTAAAAATAAAAATTAGATATTTATTGTTTATTTTACATTTTTTTAAATTTAGAGATAAAAAAATATTTAATTCTAATGTATCAATGTATTAATGACAAAAATATTAATTACAAAATTTGCATACCTTTAATTTTTATATTTTTTTAAAATATTTTAGTGAGATATTCATTATCTTTTTGCAAGTAGATGCATCTATTGATCTAAACATACTTCTTCAAATACTATTTTTACTGATATATTAAGAATGGACGTTAATAATTTTATTTCTTGTAAGTTAATGGCAAAAACATTGCTAGGAGAGATGCAGTTTTAATGTCACCCCAACCTCATCAATACAATAATCAGCTTCCCATGAAATGTCATTAAAAAGAAAAAAAAAAGGAAATATAATATCTACGGGTAACCAAACCAAATCAAGATTAGACAAATCAAAATCACTCTAATGGAGATATTAAATCCACGAAATTTTATAATTTTAATAAAATTTCGCTAGTAAGAAAGGACCTATGTATTACAGGATGCGTTATTAATATTTAGATTAAATGTTTAATATAATTTTTAGTTAATAGATGTTTTTAAATAAACTTTACATTTGTCTTATTAAAATGAATTGACTTAAATATTTTCATATTCTTGAAGAAATAGTTATTTTTATGTAAAAAAATAAGGAAATGAAGTCTTTTGCATAATCCCCAAGACGACTTAAGCGACCGATTAATTAAGCGACCTATTAACTAATGGAATGGATTTCGTGATATTACCAGCTCATTAGACCAAGAGTAAATAAAGAAAGAAAAATAATAATTTTCTTGAATGAGATATTTAGCTCTACAGATGAAAAGAAAAACCAATAATTAATAGTTTTTTTTAATCAATTCATCATTTATTTTTACTTATCAAAAGTGATTTCGTGATATTAAAGCTCATGAGCTCCAAAGAGTAGGAATGGAAAAGGCAACAAAAGGAAAAACTTTGTTTATTTGCTAGCATAAACGTAATGGACACACAGAATCAGTATAACTTTGAATATACATGTTTATTTGGTTACTTAGAGAAGACTATACACAATTAATACCTTAAATATAGATCTTTCAATAACATCTTACTACTCTCATTTGTTAAATAATAGTATTCTAACATTATTTTATGTTCAAAACATTTAGTGTATTTATTTAGATTTTTTAATATACATTTATAGAGTATTAACGAAGATTTGTTGCTAATGAAGTCAAATTTTGCAGTGATGTTTAATACATTTTGCAAGGCAATAGTTAACTATGGATCAACTAGATAATGATGACGGCCTCTTAATGTGTAAAATAATAAACTAAATCAACTACCAAAGCTGTGTTAGGGATACGTACAACAAGAAAAGATGTCTCATAAAATAAAACAAGTATCAGTATTTGCAAAAATAAACAAAATTCCGAAACCCTCTATCTTATCATATTACATTCGATTTGATATACAAATAAAATCCCAAGTCTTCCGATGAATTCTTAATTTGGAAAGTAAATATCATGCAGAAGAATCCCACATCCGTCACCTTGTGCAGCTCAAGTGTATCATTTTAGATACCAAGGGAAAACCTCATACTGGGAGTGTAAATTGTGAACGAAATCTGCAAAGTCTCAAATCTAACCTATGGACAATTTTTATGCAGTTCCAAGGACACGAACGCGATACGGCGGTCCACGACAGAAAATTGGCTCGGCAGCCGAAGTGGTCTTGGCACGAGCACGAAGAATGTCATTTGCATCATCAATCACTGCTGCAGCAAGTAGTGTATACTCTCCAGGGACAAGAAAATGTAGGCAGAATGAGTGTTTAATTTGCTTAAGTGGAGGAATTTCCATAGTAACGTCACTCAGAACACCTGAAAGAAATTGATTAAGGCCAGTAAATACAATATGATAGATCAATTCAAATGCATGCATGTTAGAAAAGGCAAGCCACAATTTAAAAAAGGTTTAATTATGTATTTAATCAATAAAAATTTTCAAATTCTAATTTTTGATCCTGAATTTTTCTTATGTTAAAATTTAGTCTTTGTCATTAAGTATTAAGTATCATAGTTAAGTGATGACGTTACATCTATTTTATCTTTTTTTGAATAAATTATGTTTGTAGTCCTTCATCTTTTCAAATAAATCAGTCTTAGTATCTCAACATTTTGTGACTAATCGTGGTCCTCTATCTTTTCATGAAATTAACTTAGTGCATCATTTAACAGGGACTAAAATGTTAATGGAAGAAAAGTGCATTGAATAAGACATGTCAATTTTTTGTTCAGGAATTAAAAAGGAATTTAAAAAAACAAAAAGAAACTAGAGACAAAAAACATATTAAACCCATTTAAAAAATTAAAAGGAATTACCAGTCCACAGAACAGTTGCTTTGGTACCATCTACACAATTCTCCCCAGCTACATCTCTGCAAGTAATAGTAAGACTCATTTTGATCATATCCTTAGTGTTATTACGAACCAGAACTTCCATTGATGTCATTTCATGCGCAATCACTGAACCTTTGGAAGCAGGAGATTCAGATTCTTTATCAGGATCACGTTTTCCTGATTCAGAACCATCTCTAACAAGCCTAAAGCCAAACGTCAATGGATCTGGAAGTAAAACATCCATGACTGATGTTTGGAGAGCAGCCTGGATAGCTTCTTTGATATTTAACTCTCCAGAGCTATTTCGTCCTGAATGCCATCGAACCTTAATCCTAGATATAAGGTTCTTGATACAAGCATTTAGTTCAGCTTTGGTGTTCTTCTCTGAGAAGGATGCATTTCTTCCTGCACCATTCCCATCTGACTGGATGTCCTTCATAAAAAAGGAATCGTCCAGAACAGGTAATTTAAAATGCTCAAGAGGCACCAGAACCCTAGCTGAGCAATCTCTATCAATTCTTGTATTGGGATAGACATATTCTGTAGCACCCTGATCAGTAAAATGGTTGTTCTCATTGCTTGAGTTCTCCAGTTTGACAGAGACATTGATTTCAAACACAACATCAGTTGGATTAGATAACTCAAGTTCAAAAAATCGCAGCCCCCAACTTCCTCTGAAAGGATCTATTTTAACCAATCTGTCCATTTTTGTCTCTGAGGCAACATGTTCATCAGTAGACTTATTATTTTCATCATCCAACTTCGGAAGACTCTCACCAACATGAGCAGGAAACTCCATGGAAAGAAGCTGAGCCTTCACAAAGGACAAACCCTGCAAAACACAAATATGCAGGGGAACAACAAGGCGTCTGCCAGGGGGCACAGCAGATCCATTTGTTGGAGTATCTTCAGAGGTTTTCATTGGACCTGAAGAAATGTTGAAAGAGCATTGGTTGAAGATATAAAGAATTCACACGAGCTAATAATGGTCCTAGCAGCACATGAAGCTACTAAATGAGAAAATAACACCAAGAAAATCGTTAAAAAAGCAGGTATCTTCACAATACTTAATCCCAATGCGCCATGAGAAGGGAGCTACTGTTCAGTACAGGATACCATGCAAGCGAACAATGATATTGATATAATAAAAGGGAAAAGGATGAAGACATGGAAAAAATAAAAAAGGGGGGAATTTTACTAAAATATTGGAATTCAGAAATAAAAAAAGGTTTGATATGAATGTATTCCAGTGTAAGGACTGACAATTGAACAGATAAGTTAATACAGAAGAAAGCAAGAAATACTACTGATTGAAACTGAAGACAATACCAGCATAGTGGATCAACAGTGATGGGCTGCTTCCATCTTTGGAATGCCTAATATTGTTCCCTGAGACAGTCTTCCCAGCACCAGCATCAGCATCCACCGAGCCAACCTGCCAGGCTCTCAAGGTCACAGGAAATGTAACTTCTGCTCCAGGCCTTAGGGGGAGGAAAGATTTCAAAGTCTCAGAAGAAAGTGAAATTACAGAATCTTGATTTTTCCCTGACAGTGAAATATGGGCCTGCTCAATTGGAACAGTACCAGCATTAGCCAGGCGTATCCACACATCACGAATTTCACCTTCATATAAAACGATGGCTCCATCACCTCCAACAACATGTGATACCAATAACGGAAGTGGAGGTACTACAGAAATATTAGGTACATATACATTTTTCAACTTAGGAGATCCACAGCATCGAAAAGGGTCAGAAAGGACCAACCCTTGTGAGGCCCCAAGAAGCAGATTGTCAACCTCTTTAAACAGATGTTCAGTAATAACACCAAAACAATGAACAATGCACCCAGGAATTGAAACTGGTCCCACTGATGTTGGAATGCCAGATAAGGTGATCACTTTTGAAGAATTTGGTAGAAGGCTTACACTCACAGGAAAAGCATCAAAATTTCCAGAATGCACAGATAGATAGATGCTATCAACTCTTAAATCAAAGCCACATGGGTTTGCTAATTCCACCAAGACCTCAACAGGCTCTCCAACAATCCAAATAAGCTCTTGCTTCTTGATATTATTAGGCTCTCCTTTACTGAATGGTGTATAAATGAAAGGGCCTGAAGGGGCAGCACCAGCCCACCAATCTTCTCTAGCAGAAGTACGCTTTATTATGTCCATATGTGTTGGGTGGAGAGGAAAGGAATGCAACCTGAAAGCAATTGATAATCAAATTACTATTTTTTGTTAGTTCTCCAAATTTGTGTGATTCATGAAATTAGCATTTGAAAAAATTAATAGTAATCCCAAAGCAGAAAAGGATGACAAGGATTTCCCATAAGAAAAATTAAATATCTGGGGATTCTGAAAACCCAGTTATTGTGATATAATGAACAGTTTGGTTATTTCAATCAAGAAAACACCTCGATCCTTGTTGTTAGCTCTCAAAAATACCTATTTGATATGACATCATAAACAAAAAATATAAAAACATTGATATGGGAGTATTCAACATCATATGTTGAATGAGTCAAAATATAGCAAAATATTAAAGTTTGAGTTTTGATAGGGAATATTCAGAAAAAAGGTAATTATGAGTCACTTTTTCTAATAAACATCTCTCATAACTCTAGCTTCAATTTGCATCATTAAAAGGATTGTTGTCATTGTTGCTAAATGACATGGTGGTTGTTGTCATTGTTGTTGAATGATTAAAACATAATGAGTTGTGGGAAAAGAAATCTTTAACCAAGTAAATACCTTACAAAGGGCAAGGCAGGATCAGCACAACGAGTTCCTGGTGGCAGCCTGTCAGCTGAATTTGAAAGTGCATTAGCAAGGCCATGTTGCCCAGCAGGTGTTATTAGAGGATAGTAGGATCTAAGGAGTCGTGCTGCAGCACTCCATGCAGTAAGAGGATCACCAGCACGCATGGCAGAGAGCAGAATTTCTCTTAATACAACCATCTGGAGGGTACTCCATTGAGACTCAAACAGTGAAACTGCTGATTGGTGATTCGTTTTCCCACCATCAGCATTATTTGATACAATTCCCTTCTGCAAAGAATCAACAGTTTAAGTTATAATTTTATAAATGTAAGAAATTGTTAATAATAAAAATCATTTAAACTATCAAATTTGTTTGAGTTCTGATTTCAGTCAATGTTGATGCCATTTAGCTGACTAACTAGCAACATAAGATATAAATAATTCAAAATCAGATAAATCCTTTCAACTCTTCTATTTTAACACCAAACATTATAGCATCCTCGTCATATATTTCAAAGAGATGTTAGAGATGAGTTTCCATTGAGATGTTAGACATTTATTATTTTAACAATAAATGCAACAACACAAAGCATCATATTTACTTTGACAATTAACGACATAAGAGTGAACCTTGGTCTTAAAGATACAATAAAGCTTAAACTGTAGTTATATTTATTTAGTTTCAGTTACAGCAAAAGATGACAATATTCATAATGCACAAAATGTTTTTCTATTGTTATCCTGACATGTAATATTTCTCATTCCAAACCACCAACAGAGCAATGACTCCAAGAGTTGACCAGAGAATATTTATGAGCAGTAACAACCTAGACTAGGGTACAGTTTAATGATGTGGATTGAGTAACAAAAAGAGTTGACACCATTTGAAGCAATACCATCATAGCAAACCATAGTTTCCAGTTTCGATGCAAACATGCCAAATCAATCAAAACTTTCTGCTCAATGCATAAAGTAATTACATATATTCTAAGTAAAAAAAAAAAACACAATAATGCTTATATATTTCAGGCATATCAATTGTCAAACGAAATTTGGTGTTTTGATTGGTTAGGCTTGGTAACTCACACTGTGCAAAGCTTGACTGGAAATTGATGATCTGCTTTGAACATGATAAGCTTTAGTGGTCATTGCCAAAACTTGCATAGCACTAATTGCAGCCAGTCTATTTTCTTGCTGCAGATATAACTGAGCAACCTGCCTTGAGAAAAATGCAGCTTTTCTATGGTATCCAAGAGTTCCATACAGACGAGCTATTTCAATATATAATATGAGCCTATCACTTGCATCAATTAAAGATTTAGCACCATCTGCAGCTGTGGTCAACAACTCTACCACCTCCTTCGCCAGCTCTCTCCTGTTGATTGATAGAATTTAGATAAATTGTTGTAAAATTATAGAAAACAAACATATGGCTTTATGACGTACTGCACCTCAATTTTTTTTTAAGTTTTAAATACAAACGGTAAAGATAATCAGACTATAATGTCAACTGTTTTGATTAATCAGAAGCGTTGCTTTTGCAAATTTAATTTATGAAGTACATACTGATATGTTAGTCTAACTTCTGGAAGCCAAACAAGTGAAATGTAAAATCCATATTGGCATGGACATGGTGCATAATCTTTATTTCAGAATACTGTTAGCTGCACTTCATATTCACAATACATCAACATATTTCATTTATCACATACTAAAAGCTCAACAAAGAATGTACCTGCAAAGAAACCTTGCTAATTTCAAAGTAGCTTCAAGTTCAAAAGTTAGGGGAGAAACTCTGCACAAAAATATCAAAAACACTTAAGATTGACAACAAGTAATTTTAATAATCTGCAAGAAGTATAAATACAGAAGATTAATATAATTAGAGAAAGCACAATTATGGAATGGGCATCAAGAAATCAGTTAATGAAAGCTCAAAGCAGAGCCGTTTACCGCTGAGCATTATCTTGTGACTTCTTGTAATTCAAGATGACACTATTATAACGATATCTAACTTCGTCTTCTAGGGTTGAATCTTTTTGGCCCATTCGATCAATCTGGTACAATAAAATAAATTAATTAAAAATTATATAGAGATGTGAATGCAGGCAAAAGTCACAATGTGTATCAGGATAAGTGATGGTCACCATATATCTACCATCCTGTTCTTTCCCTTGCACTGACACTACCTCATATTTTATAAAAATATTAAAATACTTTATGTTTATAGTGAAGAAGACCAAAGGTACTATACATGCAATACCATAGTAGCTCCAGAAACAATAGTAGCACCTAATTTTACCTTTAGATTCATGAGATCTGCAACTGTCTAAAGAATGTATCAATGAACAAATTATATCTGACATACAGCATTTCCAAGTTCAACTAATTTTGGCCTTCAACCTCAGACAGTGGCGGATCTTGACCATTGATCTTGGGAGGGGCCAAATAATATATTATTAATAAATAATAAAAAGAAAAAAGAATATGAAAGATTGAAAAGATAAAATTGTAGATATATACTTAAATATATTAAATGATCATTAAGTTTAAGGGAAACAAAATCATAAATTATATGAGAGTTACAAAGCGAGGAGGAGTCTGGGAGGATAAAATTGTAAATATACAAGTAAATATATTAAATGCTCATTATGTTTGGGGGGCCAAAATCATAAATTACATGGGAGTTACAAAACTTTGGGGGGGCCACGACCCCCTCAGCTCCCAAGAAGATCCGCCACTGCTCAAACCCTTACAATATATGGCTATAATCCAGAGCAAAACAAATGTGGGAAAGATTCATATGATTGTCTTCTTCAGCTTTTTGTTTCAAGGACTAAGTTAAATATGTTATTTAGTTAGATTGCTAATGAGACAAAAGAGATTTTAGTCATTAGATCTTTTTCTTTAGTACTATGACTCACTCACTATCTGATAATTTACACTCGCTCTTGTCTCTAGTATAAGGCACAATTTTGAAAAAAGAAATTGGTCTTTAATATAAGGCATTTTACAATGTCAATAAACCTAATTTTTATTTTTCCCTATATGCCGCCCTATTGAAGATATGGCTGTTATTATTAATTGATTTAATTATTATAAATAAGGGCAAAAATGGAAGACTAGTAAAAAAATTAGATGAAATAATTGCTTTTCTTGGTCTTTGTGATTTGTCCAAAGTGTCCTATAATAAAGACCAGAGAGAGTAATTTCTAAATAGTTACAAAACAAATACTTTCTTCTGTTCTAACATTGTGTGCAACTACATAAAGCACTAGTAACAAGTAGATAGATACATAATATATCATTGCCACAGAATAATATTCAATCAGTTTTCAAGTTAAAACTAATCACAAAAAGAAGTTACAATTTTCAAACAATAGCCTTTTAATTTACAATCAACAAACAAAAGCAAACGAAGTTCATGGATTGCATGTACCTTCTCACTGCTAAACTCAATCCCAGAAAATACACAACACATGAATTAGATAAGCATACAGGCCATAAGATTAATATTGAATAAAAAATAATAAAAGGGGAAGATAAAATACCAGCAAGGCACAAACACTACCCTCCAATGCACCAGCATACCAGAAGTAATCACCAGTTAACCTGGCAAGTTCCAATGCAGTAGAATAATGAGCATTGGCATCAACCGGGGACCCTGCCAGCAAACAGTAATCACCAATGGTCTTCTGGGCACGCCCAAGCCTTCTCTTTTTGGCCTTGATAACCTGCATCCCAACCAAAACACTCAAGCATAAACCTAACCGAACTCAACAACAGCAAAAAAAAAATGGATAAAAAACATAAGCAAATAGGTTTTACATAACACCACTAAAAATGTAAAAAAATAAAAAAATAAAAATCAGGACACCTAAACATGAACACCTCCTCTGAGCTGAGACTAGCTTGAGAATCCAAAGGAGTCTTGAGAATGGTTCCAGAAGATTCTGCCTGAAGAACCCATTTCTCAAACTCCATAAGCAGTGACGCAGCAATCTCTTGGATCATAGTGTTCAAGTGGAACTCCAGTGTAGGACGATCTGCAGGAGGAAACAATCTCAAATTTCCCCCTTTCTTACTTCCATCCTCAAGCTACACGAACCAAAGATTAAAAGAAAACTATAAGACAAATCCATTTTTATCCATTTCTTCACTAAATGGCTAAAAGCCGAGAGATTAAGGAAAACAAATATAACTATAAAATTGCTTCTTTTCAATCCATTTATTGACTATATTGCCAAAAACAGAGAAAAAAACACACAGAACCATTTTCAGTCGATTCATTCAATTAAATGCACAAAATAGTAAAATTAAAGAGAAAATATAAACTATAGAACTTATTCTTCGGTCCATTTCTTAATTAGATTGCAGAAAAAAAAACAGATGAAATATAAGCCTGCAGAACCTTTTCCTTCGATACATTTCTTCACTAAATTGGCAAAACAAAGGAAATTAAAGTAAAAGGAAAAACTGAAACACTGTTTCATTTCGATCCATTTCTTCACTATATCACCAAAAACAGACAAGATTAAGAAAAAACCTATAACATTGGTTCATGTTGTTTATCGAATAGCCAAAACAGACGACATTAAAGATATAAATCTTATAAGACTATTCGTTTCTTCGGATCCATTTCCTCACTAGGAAACTAAACCAAAACACCTCTTACGTTATTATTTCACATTTGATCCATTTCTTCACCAAATTGCCATTAATTGAACAAGAAAACGAAGTACGACCTGCGAATCGTTAGGGCAGAAGGCGAAACAGCGATCGACGAGGGAAGAGGGGAAGGACTTGCAGGAAATGGCGAAGAAATCGACGGCGGCGTCGAGATCCAGGGAGGAAGGGCAGTGGACGACGCCGATGACGGCGAGGGTTTTGCGGTGCGACTGAAAGTCCTCCCAGGGACTGGGCGGTGCGCCCCCGAGGACGAACTTGAAGCGGAGGGAGCCGGAGTCCCATGGCTGGACGGCGAACGGGGACTTTTGGTGCTCGGTGTAGAAGGAGCTGATGGCGGACAGCGGGATCGTGTGCAGCGGGAGCAGCATGGAGTAGTAGTCCCGCATCACGTTCGATGGCACCGTTCCGATCGGAACCACCGCCACCTGGATCATCGCCGATCCTTCGATGCTCACTTCCGGCTCCATTGTGATGGTGGTGGTTGGTTACTTGCTGTTTCTCAACCATGTTCACTGCACAACGCTTATACCATAACATAACCAAGATCTCACATAACCTGAAATTACTTCTATATCCTCCTTTCAATACTCCTAAATTTTCCTATATACCTAATAGAAAGAAATAATTAATAATTAAAGAATATTTATATGATAAGTTTTTCAAAATATAAGTTAACAATATTATTTTAATTATATATTTTAAATTTTTTTACATTGCACGTTTTTTAAAACTTATCTGATTTTTTAATTTAAAAATTAATGTAACCGTATATCCTCTAAATTAAAATATTAGAATAATCATTTACTCATTAATTAAATAAAAAAGAAAACGATTTTAAGTGCAGTTGTTTTGTATTTTTTTTGTTGAAAATAGAATTTTATTTTGATTATTGCTACGTGAATGTTCCCTCTCCTTCGAACTTGATGACTGTTTTGCCCTCGTCTTGTTCTTTAATGGGGTTTTCGTTATAGTGTCGAAGTCCCTTATAATTTTCAGTCTCATGTCGGTCTCTGTAGAGCGCGAAATTGCGTCGTTTCGGGATTCTGAAACTCGGAACAATCTTCGAGGAATTCTCGAGTCATGCTCAAAAGTTAGATTCACTCACCTTTTTCTAGAAAATTTGCTTATGTAGAATTTATTTATTTCTGTTTATATAACAATGTTAGCAACTAGATTGGTGATTATTATTGGCTATGGTGAGAAATATGGGACAAGAAAAATGAAAGTTGAAAATTTTAAATTGAATGCTTATGTTATGTTTGTGTCATGATTTTCTTATACTTTGGTAGGTGGTTGCGGCTGGAGATTTTCATCAGTCTGAAGACACGGTTTCAGAGCTTGTCAAGTTTCTTGGTTCTGTGTATGATGCTGCCGTGTCTGACCCAGATAGCGAACATGCTGAGAATGAAGCATTTGAAGCTATCTCTGAGATCCATAGATATATTTGTTCTCCTTCCCTTGACCAGGTGGCTGACTTCAACACTTCAATCCTGTTTCAGATTCAGGCTTTTTAAGTGTTCGTGTTTCATATCAGGCTTAGCCACTGCTTTGATAAATTTCTTATAAGCAGTTGTAGGAGAAGAAAATGAAAAAGAAAAAAATGCGTTTGATTTTTTTATTTTTTTTCGTAAGGTACAACTTCTGCATTTTAGCTTTTAAAGTTAAACTAAATGAGCTTCTTTATGTGAAACATAATTCATATATCTTCTTATTTATATAGGTGTTTGTGTATGGTGAAATTTAGTCAAATATGACCATAGAAAATAAAGAAGAAAAAAGGAAAAATATAGACATGAAAACAGGATCCCTGCAGTCAGCAACTTGGAACCATTGGATGAAAGTCAAATGACCTGTAATTAAACTCGGTATATGCACTGAAATCAAATTTGAGTCATTCAATCTCCATCCAATGGTTACAGTGCACTGGCTACGTGGAAAAGCTAACTTCACGAAATCCAGTACCATGGTTCAATCTAGTTATACTTTTATACAAAAACCCTTTTATGGAACTAGAAATGGGAGATTAATGATTTTAAGGAAAAACTTATTATATTTGTATCACATAGTCTTTCAAGCTCACAGTTTAGTGTAAAAGAGCGATAGAGTAAAACTAAGAGTGTGGTGTTGATTGTTTGGTGATGTGACAGGAAGTTGTTGATGCCCTTTCCTTTGAACTGCCAAAGGCTGTTTCAAAGTTTGTGGGGCTTTCAAGTAGATTTTTGGACATGGCAATTAGGATCATCGATCAGTTTATAGTGAAATGTGGTCCAAGGGATATGCTCTCAATTCTCTGCAATGTGAGTTTGTCTTTATTGTGAGTAAATGTGTATTATCAGTTCAAAGACACACACAATGTCACTTTAATACTCCCCTACTAGTTGACAATACTGTTACCTATTGAATTTTTGTTGAGCAGACATTAGGCTACTCAAGTACGATCAACAAGGCCGCCAGTTACATTGTCGCACCTTTAACAGGGATTTCAAAGGGTAATTAGTGCAGTGATCTTTTAATCGATGGTTAGAATATAAAACTGTAATCTCTGTCCAATGAAAGAAAGATGGAAGCAATAACCTTGTTAATTCTCTTCCAATTTAGGGCATGTGAATCACTTGACACTGGATTCATTTTAAGAACTTATATTTTGGTTTTCTTGAACCTTAGTTGCTCTGGGCTTTGTATGAAGAAAACTCATTCCTTAGTCATTACCCTCTCTAGCCTTTATATTTATGTTTATGTTGAGAAAATTGAATATGATATTGATTTTATTTTTAAATGGTGTGTTGAGATCAATTGTTGTTATTTATAAATTGTTTATTTGTCACCATTACTTGCTAAGAAAATGATAGGATCAATTTAAAAGCGATAGTTTAAAAGGTATCAATGCTGTCTATTGAATTTTGGTCAAATTTATAAATGGAGGATGAAACCAGAAAATCAGTTCCTTACATGACAGTATGCTTTTGGTTCAGCTTTCTTGTGAGGACAAATTCTTTTGGGTTGAACATGGTGACTTGAATCTAGAGTTTAACAGGACTGATAACAATAAAATCTGACACATTATTTGTTTGTGTGAAGTGGCATCATATATTTTATGACCAGACTTTTATATCTAATCTCAAATAAAATAAAATTGAAATAAATATTCCCAAGGTCCTAAGCTTCAGCTTGATACTAAATCACCTAGTCCGGTTAGCTGTCAATTGCACTATGGTTTTTATTCGGCTCATTTTTTATTCAGCAAAAAGTCTTACAACTTAACTATTATGTTAAAGTTGGAAATTATCTTTGTTGATGAAATGCAAAAACTAAATGCTTGTTTTGGCTCACTCTGCTCTGTCAATGATTATAAGCCACATTATTTGAAGTGTCTGCTCATACTTATTTTGCCTTTTCAGTCTTTATTTCCATTCAGAGGCATCAATTTGAGCAAGTAAAAGAAGCTATTCCTATAATTCTTAATGTACTGAAAGCCGTGTCTTTGGAGTCAGAAGAAGAAGAACTTGAAGATGTATTTGACAGAGCTGTTGGGATTGCAAATTCTATAAATCAAGTTTGCAGTAAATTGGTCAGTCAATTTTAAAACAATGATCTTTTCTTTGTTAAAAAACTTGAATGACTGATTTATTTTCAATTATTTTGCTGAAGTTTTTCTTTATCCACTTCTACAATAGGAGGGGGATGCAAAGGAGAAGCTCCAAACTCTTCTTGGTCTTTACGTCCTTCAATGCATGGTACATGTCTCTGTACTGCATTAAAACTAAGTATTCTTATTTGTATTTTTTCCTAACTACCTCTTAGTAAAATGGAAATATGGTTTTATTGAATTTAATATGTATCAACATGTTACCACGCATTATCCAGGCTCTCATTTCAGCTAGTTTAGGTTCTAAAGCTTCCAGTTGTCATTCGTTTGTATTACAACTGTCGCAAATTTCTTCATACTGTGGTTTATCATATCTCAGTCTAGTAACAACTTATGAAGTTGAGACTGTGGCGGGCTCCATTTTTGGAGGTAGTACTCCTATATTACTATGTTAGCTGTCAAGTTATTTCAACGCAAATGTAAGCACTATTTACATTGCTGTATATTTTTCTGTCAAACCCCTCAATTTTCCAGAAGATAAAGATCACTATATGGGTTTCTTATCTCATGTCAAACATGGTGCTGCTCTTTCAGGTTTGTGTTTGAATAATAACTATTTACTGAAATTGAATCCATGCCTTTTCTTTTTCGAGTATCCCTTTCACTAACCCATCAAACTATTTTTTTTTTAAGTAATTTGGGGACTTGTCTCAGAGGAGGTTGCTCATACTGCTAAAGAGAATTTGGCTGCCATCAAGGATGAACTTTGTAATAACCAAACGAAAAGGTGGCAAGCAATAGCAACATTAAAGCTAGTACTTTCGTTTGTAAATCTACCATGGGAGTTAAAGAAACATGCTATCGACTTCTTGCTTTGCATCACAGACGATGGAAGTGTCTCTAGAAACTGCAATGAGGAACATTCTGAATGGTCATCTTATATGCCAAGCCTTTTCTCGGCTTTGCAGGTTGTGTTTACTTCAATTGTGACTTCAGTTTGTTTATTGTTGTTCAATCTTTTACTTTCTCTTATGGTTACATTAAACTTTCAGGCTGTAAAAATGGTTATCATGCATGCCCCAGAGCCAGAACTTAGAAAAAAATCCTATTCTGTGCTAAAAGGAGTGAGTTTCTATACTAGCAGCACCTCTATAAATGCAACATGTAGTGAGCATTTTCTGAAATAGAGATATATGATGTTTGTTAAACTGCTTACTATCTCAAGCACGTTTTTCTTAAGATTTTTATTGGTACTAAGCTGATGTTACTCAAACTAGATACTGGCCGATGTTCCAATTTCTCAAAGATTAGACATTTTGAAAGCATTGATTACAAACACCGACTCTTCCTCAATGGTAATCCCCTGAATTAGAATTTGTTTAGCACTGTTCTTCCTTTTTCTGTTAAAAGTTAAATCATCTTATGGTTCTCTTGCACCATTTTGAAGATAGCCATTTTCATGGATCTTATCCGGAAGGAAATGTACACAGCAATTCGCGGTAGTAGATCAATAGTAAAAGATGCCCCACTGATAAAAAACAGAGCATTTCCAGATGCTCCATTTTGGAATCCCGGGGTCATCGAGTTGGTGGAGTTGGTTCTAAGACCTCCTCAGGGTGGACCTCCTTCCCTGCCTGAGCAGAGTGATGCGGTATTCTTCCTATTTTATATGTTTTTTGTAATTTATATTAGGTTTAGTTAATCATTTGGTCTCTATACCGACACCAAATTTTCATTTTAGTTCTTATACCTAAAACCCGTATGTTTTAAGTCATGTGCGGACTTTTTTTTTTATGTTTTGGCCTTCATTTTGCAGCAGTTTTATACTGCCTGAAAACAAACAACACTGGTTTAAAACAGAGAAATAAATTTCATGTAAATGGACAAAAAAAAAACTGAGTTTTTAGGTATAGAACTAAAATAAAAGGTTAGTATAGGTAAAGGGACCAAATGATTTATCAAATCTTTGTGTAATCCATGTTTCTTGAAATGCATCTATTTGAAGAAACTTTTGGCGTGATCGTCATTTAATTTTGGGTTATGAATATGAACTCGTATGAAAAGGTTTTGAATAAGGCCATTATGTATTATGATCCACAGGTGTTGTCAGCCCTCAACCTATACAGATTTGTATTGATGACAGAATCTGCAGGTATGTAGCATCAATTAATTATCACTTATGGGGAAAATTACTAACAAGAGTTCTTGATTAAAAAAAAAAAAAAAAAACTATTTCAAGCAGTGGTTAATGAGTTACAAGTTTGAGTTAATGAACCACTGGAATGGTTAATTGTTCCCAAACACAAAAATACTCACCTTCAATTTTCATTTTCAATTTTCCTTGAAAAAAAGTGAGATTGTTACATGTTTGTAGATTTGAAACATTATTTAAATGAGAAGTGTTGGCAACATACTCTCTGTTATTGGTTAAAATTTATTGAAAATTATAAAAACATCACTGAGACTTGTTAAATATGAAATGAGACTTTCAAAATTGTGATTTTCAATAAATTTCAACTAATAATAGGGTTTATTGGTGATAGTATTTACCTAATATAAATTAAGTCTAATTTGGAAGGATTTACTATTTCATTGGTAACAGAAAAGACAAACTGCACTGGAGTGCTGTCAAGGAACAGTTTACTGAAGGCCTACAATGAATGGCTGCTTCCTTTGCGTAGCCTGGTGACAGGTATAATGGCAGAGAGCAAGAGTGACTATGATGAGTTTGCTGTTGACACTGTATGCACATTAAATCCACTTGAGTTGGTGTTGTACCGGTGCATTGAACTTGTAGAAGAGAGGCTAAAGCAATCCACTTAAGTTGCTCTTAGCCAGAATTTTTGAAAAAAAAATTGGTGCATGTTGTTTTTGAAATATTGATCATTTAAAATAGTTTTTGTTTGGACCTGAATTACAGATTTGTGTTTGACTGTCACTAGAACCTAACATGATCTATTCCATTATTATGGAGGTGATGATGATTTTAAAAGAGTTAACAAAACTTACATCTGGTACCATACTAATTCTAATAATTGTTAATACTATTTTTAATTAAAATTGGAGTACATTTTCATCATGTGTAATATACTAAATAAAATTATGGTACTGAATATAAAAAAAAAAATTGTATTATATGTAATATATTTCACAAAATTATATTAGTATACAGTATATTTTTACAGCACTAATTTTTGTCTCTATCTTTTATTATTTATCTTTTCCCAAACTTTTTACCCTTTCCTTTTCTCTTCCCATAATAAATAATCTTTTGTACAAATTTTGTGTACTAACAAAACTTATAAAAATTGTATACGCCAATTATTGTACCCAATAAGCGACAAAGGTATTTTAATGCTACTGGACCTATTTAAAGATTGATTTGTTTAACACACCAAATAAGTTAATTCAAATGCAATTATTTTTTCTAGCTATTTAAATACTTACATGAAATAATAATAATAATAATAATAATAATAATAATAAATAGGCAGAAAAAATTACTATTCTATTATAATAGCCTAACATTATATAATAAACAAAAAATAAAAAAAATATATTCTATTTCAAAAGCAAGATCAATATTTTAAAAAATGGATTTGAAAGATCAATATTTAAAAAAATGGACCGACGGTGAAGACATTAATTCAGGTTTTAAAGATTTAATTGGAATTCAATTTGGTTGAATCGAGTAAAATAATATTTTTATAATTTAATAAATTCATTAATAATAATATTTTTTATAAAAAAAATAAATAATAAAAAAAGTGAAAGATGGATAATTATTAAAATAAGGTAAAAATATAATAAAATAAATATTATTTAAGATTAAAGTAGCTAATTTCAGATAAATATATATATATATATATATATATATATATATATATAAAAAAATTATTAAAAAAATTTTATCCTAAATTTTCTTTTTTATTTTGTCCCGATTTTTCCAATTTTGTTTTGATGTAATTAAAATTTAAATATTAATTTTTAGTCCAATTATCAGATTAACAAGTTAAAATAACCCACTCTGATTTTAAAAATAGTGAGTAAGATATGAATAATCATTAACTTCTAAATGGATTGTAAGCTTTTATGACTCTAAACCCTAAATAATTTTAAACTAGTAATTTAAATGAATTTCCTCTAATAAATGTTGTGTTAAAAAGCATGTTAGAGAATAAGCATTAGTATTCGTCATTTTCGTAAATGATAAATTTCTTCAAAGAACCTTTTCCTTTTTGAATGATTCCTATCTTCTTTTGTTTAGCTTTTCATGGGTTGGTCATGGAGCTTTGGTTTGTTCTTCAAGTACTTAATGAATGAGTGGTTATTCTCCCTCCTTTATTCTTAATCATGGTATATCTTCACAAACATTAGAGACAATTTTTTCATAACTAATAAATCATTAAGTTTTATTATAACACAAAGAGATCTTTTTTTTTTGTCATATATACATATAATAGTAGGTGTAACGTGCATCTTCACCAAAATTCAAACCATAATCGACCTAACACGTGAGTATTATTTTTCTAGTAATATATGTTTAAAAGCTCAAAGTTTTGTCCTTTATTTATATGGATCCGTTAACCTTTCTATAGTAAGATAATTCTTAATGTTTAGTCTCATTGCCCTTAAATGGAAAAACCCATTGACACTTTCTTTTCATAGGGAATAAACCCTATTGTTTGTTGCCTTTATTTATGAGGTAATTTACAAGTTTAGTCTTTTCTTTTTAATTATCTCAAGTGCATGTATGGAATTCAATGTTTAACTCAAGCTCAATTCATGTCTTTTCATAGAGAATTTCACCGTTTTTAAAAAAATTAAATACATTACATTTTTATTATTTTTATTTTAAAGTAAGGTTTTATTTAAATAAGATAATTCGAATTTATTAAAATTTTTATTTAGATATAATATTTAATTATTATCAAATACGAAATTTATTTAATTAAAAAATAACATTTAATTGTTTGCAATTGTGTGTTGCATTAGATTTCAGTTGAGAATTTTCTTTTTCATCAAAGTCGGTTAAAAAAATTAGTTGATATTAATTTTTATTCTTCTTTAATTAATATTGGTTAATTGTAATCAATATCAACTATAATTATTTTAACTGCTGTTTATTAGAGTTGTTTTTTTAAATCTTTACTTAAGTTTTTTTTTTTCAATTTTGTAATATATGAGAGACTCAACGGATATAATCTGAACACGAGAATTATTGCTACAACTATAATAGACGAGAAATAAAAAAAAGGCAATTAAAATAATTTGTATACATAAATATAAACTAATTTATAAAAATTTCTTTGAAAAACTTGTTATTAATTTATATAAAACCTAATTTTAATTTAGAACAAAAATTTTATTTCTCTTCTAATTAAATGATTTATAGATAAATTTACACAAACAAATTTGTAGGACCATTAAGGGTGTGGATTTACCTAATTATTTCAATCATGTAATAGTTCCAAAATGTAAGTATATAACAACCATAAATATTTTTTTAAAAAATTCTCACTATAATGATTGCTCCTACTAAAAACAATAATAGGTTCGTAGTTTGGACAATGTGCTTTAATTAGGGTTTGCAATTATTTTTAAGCAATAATCTTCCATTAGCTATCAATGATTCGATGATGCTTTTAAGACTTTTTGGTGGCTTTTCTTTTCCATCGACTGTGACAATGACGTTTGTGATTGTATGTTAGGGTTTCCTACAAAATGAAAAAGGAAAAGTATCAAAATTGACCTAATTAGATTCATGATATCATTATTTATCTTTTGTTTTTCCTTTGATTATTATGGTCTTTCAAATATAATTCACAATTATTATTGAGTTCTATGTGTTTATTATTATTATTATTAATTATAGTTATGAGTTATAATACATTACATATGTATGTTTGTTCAACCTTCTCACGTCACATGATTAGGGTTCTTCAAATGGGACCGGATTAAAGAAAAAAGCAAAATTCAAACTCATTGATTTAGGTTTTGTTGGGGACAATTTTGCCAAAAACAGAAAATCCAACTTAAGTAATGGTTAGACCATATTAGATAATAAATTAAGTTTATGAATATATTTTTTTATAGAACTTTAATTTGGTTTCTACAAATTTTTAAATTCATGAACGGCTTCTTCATCTTTTAAATATGTATATAATTAATCTTTCTTTCAATTTTGTAAAAATAAAAAATTCATTACTAGCTTAGTAACTACTAAATTTAAATAAACATAAAGACTAAATTTGTATATTTTTAAAATGTAAAAGATTAATTTATCAATTTAAAAGTACATATAAGAAAAGTTAATTTATCAAAAAGATACAAAGATTAAACATATTTCATTTTCAAAAAGAATCATGCTATAAATAATTAATTAATCGATTGACATACTTGTTTTTGTCTTTATTTTAAAAATAATATTCAATATTTAGATAATATTAGAAAATTCAAATTCAAAAAACATACTTTCTTTAGAAACGGAATCATTGAGGTAAATTGTGTACCACATTTATTGGATTAGAGTTAAATAATCCAAACAAATTCAACCCCAATTGCAATTGCTCATAAATCTATCCCCAACCACATCTAAAATTTATTTAGACTAATTTCTCTACAAACACTTGTATAAAAAAATAAAGATAAAAACTTAATACATGAATTAATTTCACCTTCTGGCTAGATTTATCTTAATTTTTTTCCTAAAAGTATTTAGATAGAATTTGGTCTTATCATGCTGAGTTATTATCATTCACTTTTTTTTCCTTTTTTTTTTTTTTTTTTTTTTTTTTTTGATGACTTGAATCAAATCTATTCCCAACCACACCTTCAAATCATTGACATTCAAAATTTCCCCTTTATGCCTCACAAGTTTTTCTTTCCTTCTTTAAATTTTCCCCTTACAGAGTTTGGGTGAAAGGCTTATTACATTGAAAACAATGCACGGGTGCACATGATTGTCGTGCAGTTGCCCCCACCCCAAAATTAAACCTCATCTGTCCATTGTTGTCCCTTTTCCTTCCACTGATAAAGCATGAGAAAGACAGTTAAACAAAGAAGAAATAAAAGAGAAAAAATGAGACAGAGAATGCTCAAATAAAAAGGTTCAAAAAAGATAACAAAAAGAAAATATTGTTTTTTGGATGTTTAAAAAGGGAGGTCAAAGCCTCAAAGATCCAAAACACTCTCACTTTCTCTCACTCAGGAGTAGTGGCTAACAAAACTCACTCTGAGTGAGTTTGTTAGTGTTGTTTGTGTTCCTTTTCAGGCACAACAACCTTTCTTTCTTTCACTCATCTATTATATCTTTATCTTCATGTTTTCTTAGAAAGAAACAATGAAAACGAAGCTTCTTCTTTTGTTTCTCATGCTCCTCCTTATTCTCCACAAACCCATTTGGACTCTTGCCTCACCATACCCTCTTGCCCCCTCACCTCAAGTTCCACCCTTTTCTCCAATTTCAACTTCAATGTCTGCTTCTTCTCCAGGTTCTTTCCCTCTTTCTATGTTTGTTTTCTTTTTCTTTGTTATTCACATTTTTTCGGAGACAATCATTTTCGAGATACAGTCGGATACTACATGTAGCTACTTTTCTTGATGCATTTCTATGCTTGTGTGTTGCTCTGTCTGGTCATTACTTCTGATGGAGTTGGTTTTCAACGGTGTCGAATTCGCATTTGAAAATCATGACGAGCACTTAATGCAGACAATATGTAGTAACTAATTTTTTATTCATTTCTTTGTCTAGTGCGTTTGATTGTGTGGATTTTAATCCTAGGCTTCCCCTTTGCTTAAACTCTATTAACTTGTCATTAATGGTTTGAAATTTTAATGAATTGGACATATTTTGTTGTCATGTACTTTAAATTGATGCTCACTGCCATATACTGCATATTGGTCAGGAATTGTGATGGGGGCTGAACAGCAGCAAATGGATTCGCACAAGAAAATGGTAATTGCAATTGCCGTAGCCAGCACTTCACTTGGTGCAGTCATTTTGAGTGTGTTGTGTATCTGGATTTACCATACCAAGTACCCTTCAAAATCCAAAGGGAAAAACGTTCAAAGATCAGGTTTCCCCCCCTTTTTCACAATTTCATTTGTTAGAATCTTATGAAATTTGGTTTGGTTAAACTTTCTTCTTATTTAAATTTTCTGTTTTCAGTTTTTTTTCCTCTTTTCTGAAGTTTTTATACATAGAATGAAAACAGAAAACACTAAATATTTGTTTTCAATAAAAACCTTTAAAATCAAGAAATAAAATTTAAAAAATAATATATTTTTCAAATCAATTGACCCCTTAGCTTTCTATTTTGCGTCACAAAGCACAATTTTGGGACGTAAAAGAACTTTGACATTAATTTGCTTTCTTGGTATTGTCTGACATTTGTAATTTTTCCCCTTTTTCTGTAATATGAATCCCAAGATGCTGAGAAAGGGTTAGCTTCATCACCAACTTTGAGTAAATTCACCTCTATAAAGCTGGTTGGTAAGAAAGGGGGTGTTCCAATCATTGATTATAAGCAAGTAGAAAAAGCCACTGGCAATTACAAGGAAAGTAACATCTTGGGTGAGGGAGGTTTTGGATGCGTTTATAAAGCTCATTTAGATGATAATTTGGAAGTTGCCGTTAAGAAACTGCACTGTGAAAATCAGTATGCTGAGCAAGAATTTGAGGTAATCCTTGCTAATAAATTCATTTTCACTTTTCTTTTTAATATTATATTGAATAGTAGTGCTTCTGTGAATTTGCAGAACGAGGTGGAATTGTTAAGTAAAATTCAACATCCAAATGTGATTTCTCTGCTGGGTTGTAGCAGTAATGAAGATACAAGGATTATTGTCTATGAATTGATGCATAATGGATCATTAGAAACTCAATTACATGGTAAAACATTGTTTTATACGCTTTATACCTAGGATAAGACATATGATTAAGATATGATGAGGTAAATTATAAAATTATTATTATTTGAAGGACCTTCTCATGGCGCTGCATTGGCTTGGCATTTGAGGATGAAAATTGCCCTTGACACAGCAAGGTGACCCTCCCTAAACAGTTCTTAATCTATCTTTTTATTTGCTTAGAAGCAATGCTAGCTTCACTATTTTCCATACACTCTTTCATTATTATTGGAATTTATTGAAAGTCACAAAATGAGTCTTATTTGCTCTTTCCATCTCATCGCAAGTGTCTATTAAAATAAAATAAAAAATCTAAAATTAGTATCATTTAAGTTTTCTAATATAACCAAAGTTTACTTGTGTTTATGTTTTTTATTTTTAATGTAAAGAAAATAAGCAGATTTATACTTTGTTTATGTACTTGTCTAATCTACTTACTTTTTTTGTATCTTTGTTAACATGGTATTTGATTAACGTCAACCAGGGGATTAAAATATCTGCATGAGCACTGTTATCCTCCTGTGATCCATAGAGATCTGAAATCTTCTAATATTCTTTTAGACACGAAGTTCAATGCCAAGGTAAAACAAGAAGGCTATGTTCAATTTGCTGCATATATTATTATTTTCTTGTTGTACCATACATTTTTATTGTGCTCACAAAAACTTCTGCTTTGTGTGCTCTTACTGTTTGTTTCAGCTTTCAGATTTTGGTCTTGCCATAACCAATGGGACCCAAAACAAGAACAATATCAAGCTTTCAGGCACGTTGGGTTACGTGGCCCCGGAGTATCTTTTAGATGGTATGAACTGAACTAATATAACATATAATTCCATGGCATATGCAATGGTCTGACAAGTAGCTAAATATGTGTCCTTAATCTTTCAACATGCCCCAGATCCAAGATAATGGTCTTTTTGAACCTTTGATGTATTCATTGTGCAAGAAATTATTACATGGTTGGATAAGCCCGATTAAGTGTGATGTGACGATGGACCATGATGATAGTCTTGAACCATTTAACAAATTTTGGATGTGTGCACCTTGTGCTTGTCTTGGGAATGTACCTCCCTATCTGATCTGGCAAGTTATATAGATTATTTATTAAATTAATAAGTTGTCAGTTACACGTTACAGCCCCATATGCCTAGTTTGCTCCAACTGCTACTTGTCAGTGATGAAAGACAATAATGATAATAATAAATATCCTAAGGGTGGGAACTGAAATTTGTCCTCAGCTAGTTAAATTGATTCTTGTCTGAGAGATGGGAAACATTGGAAGTATAACACTTTTGTATTATTCAGTTTAAATCCTTGATCATTTGGCAGGATTGCTATTTTATTTTAATTATCAAGGGAGACTGTGAATCAAACTACCACATATTAATCATGAGATATAAATTAAATACATAACTTCTCCAAGGATTATCTTGGAACATGGAGAAACAGCTATAGCAAAACTTTTGAGGAAGTTTCATTATAATTATTTTTGCAGGTAAATTGACTGATAAAAGTGATGTATATGCTTTTGGAGTTGTGCTGCTGGAGCTTCTATTGGGAAAGAAGCCTGTGGAAAAACTAGCACCAGCTCAATGCCAATCTATTGTCACATGGGTACTGTTTGCTTGGTGATGATGAATTTAATTGGGTTGGTATTGGAAATGACATTAGCTATTTATGATGTTTACAGGCCATGCCACAGCTCACAGACAGATCTAAGCTTCCAAACATCGTGGATCCTGTAATTAAGGATACAATGGACCCCAAACACTTATACCAGGTTTGAGTGCCTATGAGTCAGAACACAGACATATTTTCCAGTTTATTACTTACTACTCATCCTTTTTGGCAATGATAGTGGTCATAGTAAGAGTTAGCTATACGATCTTACAAAATTTTTTTAGCAACCCACCCTTCTAATAATTTATGAAGAGTGTATTGAGTGAAAATCAACTATGTTTCATGAAAACAAAAAATGGTTAATGTTTTCTTCATTTTGAAAATAAAAAGATTAATAGAAAGGTATATATATAATTATTCAAGTATAATAGTACTACCAGTATTATGTTATTAATGAATTATGTTTCCTTGTCCCTCTTCAACACATATGTAGCAGAGAAATGTTAACAACACAGTTTCTAATACATGGAAAATATCTTTGATATCAGTTGAAATTAGTATAAATCCTACTAAATGAGGTAGGCTTGAAATCCGAATCCTCTCTAGCATCTACACCTACAAGTATAAGAGTGAAAAAGGCAGGTTCATGTGGAACTCACCTGACAAATGAATCCCATGTGGAACTTGTGTGGTTCTCTCCTTAATACACGATGCAGTTTATTAGGATCCACATCCACGTGACTTTTAAAGACATTATAATGTGAGTTAAGTGAATAGTGTTTCTCTTATCTACTATTATAATCTCAATCTTTCTGGCGAAAAAAGAAAAAAGTTTATATATAAAACGAATTTGCAAGAGCATAAGTTTGTTTTTTAATTTTATGTATAAATTAATTTTAGCTTTAGAAAAAAAAATATTTTTTCTTTTATATGTGTTTATGAAAAAATAAAAGAATTAACTCTGCTTAACTGCTGCATTGACTTTTGTACTTTGTAGGTTGCTGCAGTGGCAGTGCTGTGCGTGCAACCAGAGCCAAGTTACCGTCCCCTGATTGCAGATGTTCTCCACTCACTCATCCCTCTTGTGCCCGTTGAGCTTGGAGGAACACTCAAAGTTGCACAACTGCCACAGCAAGTCTTACCTGCTGACCCACATGAGGATTCTAGACCATGATCAGTTTGAGACTGCATCACTCACTCGTAATGGCATGTTATGTGGTGCTCTACCCAACTAGTGAGGCTTTATCAAGGCTTGATATTACAGAAAAATTGATGACGACTACGCTGAAGATTTTGTAATAAAGACAGCCCGGGAGTGTGACAGAAACAGACAAATTGAGGAAAAGAGTAGACCTAAATAGTGCCCAAGAGCATTTGGATTAGTAATGATAAATGTGAGGAAATTGATTTCACTTATGTGAAAATATTTGTGTATATAGCGGTGATATTGCGGAACATTGAATTGTTTAAAGAGGATCATCTTATTGTCTTTCATTCCCTGTTTTGTCTTATCAAATTCAGCAGACCAGACTTCAAACTTCAAATAATTCGTACATAAACTTCAGATAAAATACGAACAACGTCCAATACACTATATGTCTGCTGTTGAAATTCACAATAGTATGACTTTCACTCATTATTAGTCCTATGATTTTGTATTTCCTAATAAACTTAAACTAATGATAGAGTAAATGTAAAAGAATATGTTAATACATTATTTGCATTCTTCTAAATTTAATACATCTAGAGAAGAATAAATGTAAAGACTCGCTACTCTTTTATTCCCTACATTTCCTTCGAACAAAACATTATATACTTGTCCAGGTTCTGTGCAGATGACGAGCCATTCTTGCCTTTATTTTTTGTTCAAGGCGGAAAACCATATATAATCAATTATTTTAGGTTCTCGGTTCCAAAATACCTCATCACCATTCACGATAAATGTCAAGAGTGAACTCTCAGGTTTCTCTATCAACGTAAATGATTCGATCACAATGGAAGTGGGATTTAACAAAAGAAAAAGATAACGACCAACAACTGAAGGACATATGGCCAATGAAACTATGCTTATAATGTTTTATTCAATTTCACCCAAATGAAATGAGAAACAGACACACTATGCATCGGTAGTTTTGATTAAATTAGCTTTAAGTCGGAAAATCTCACTCATTATATTTCAATACTGAGTGAATTTGTTTCAAGGTTACAAAATTTCCTAAGGTACTTTGAGGTACATATGTATAACAATTAATGCATACATACATAACTAAATTATTTTCGTACGTCACAATCTTTCCGATTGGTTATAACACTCACCAAAAATATTTGATTGAGTTTCAGCTGACATTATGATATGAGTCTATAATGGCATCTGCAAGGTATTCACATTTAGCCAACGACAATCCTGCCAGGGAAATCCTTCCATCCTTTGTCATGTATACATGCCACTTATTTGTCATGTTGTCACTCTGATAAAACACAATGTATCATTTGAGAACAACACAGTCAATAAGGCAAAACAGTAAAATCAAATTACAGATCAATATTATTTTGATAGATTCAATGGAATAAGACGTATAAAAGCCACAAGTTGATCAGAGGCAAGAAGCCATACTAACAGCAGGAGTCAGTTACCTGGTCCTTGTTCAAGCCAGTGAATGAGAACATGCCTATCTGCTTAAGTATGAATGACCAATCTTTTCCACTATTGTCTTTTGAAGTAATACTATTGTATAGCTGCTGTCTAACATTCTTGATCCTTCCAGCCATCATTTCCATCTCTGCTTTCCATTCATTAAAGAGAACTGGGTTTCCAACAACATCGGCAACAATTCTAGCCCCGTGTACAGGTGGATTAGAATACATTGGTCGGGCAAGCCTTTTCAACTGGCTCTTTACCCTGCAATAGGTTCATCAAAACAAAGCAATATGATTGGAGAAATGTGAAAAGGAGCTTAATGTTTATTATTTATACAAGAGGGATTGAACTGGAGGAAGGGAAGGATAGGTCGTACGCTCACATCTCCCCGCTGATAGAAAACTAACATATTAGCAACTAACATCGGTTGATCCAAAAATAAAAATACAAGAGGCATCCATTTCCCTAATCAAGTTGAATCCAAGAAAACAAAAACTAATATATTAACCACTTACTAACTAGCTAACAGTTCAGACAATATGCCACATAATACGGAACTTCTACTGAGGCATACTTCCCCAATCAAGCTGAATTCACAATGTCGCATATCTTAAAACAGAACAGGAGCATTTTTGTCATGATTTTAGCTACTTCTTACTATACTTAATTGATAAAATGGTCCCTTTATCTTAGTAGAAAAGGAATAAATTTGCATGGGATATGTTAAAGTAAATGATAGAGAGACATATAAATAAAATCCTTGTGTGTATTATCCATAACAAAGGAACAAATATATATAGATATCATGATATAAAAAGAGATGAGATTGGACCTATATATGTAACTATTTCTAATACCTCAAGCTGGTGTATATAAATCATATGTAAACTATAATTAATTTTAGGACTCTATAATGATTAGATTAAACCATCCGTCAATTGATCATTATTGAAATTCACAAATCTCTAGATACAATTTTAATCTAAGTTGTAAATGGAGAGAGCACATTGTCATAATTTGTGAAATAGAAAAATCAGGCCTAAAAGAAGTTGAAGAGGTCATGAATACTAGAAGAGGGAAATTTCCAACAGGAGAGGGAAACTTGCAACAAGAGAGAGAAAACAAGAATCCAACAAAGGGATAATGATTATGCAACTGCAATGACGGTGGCAACAGCAACAGAACAATACTAAAGTGAAGAAGTAGATAAAAATCGGAATGAAACACGGTTTCCGAAAAAAGTTTGCACCTAAGGATAATGGGTCCATCAGGAAGTCACAGGTTAGGATTTAAGCTCTAAATGTCATGTTAAAAGTAAATGGTAGAGAGACATATGAATAAAATTATATAATCTCTATGTGTATTATGCAAAGTAGATGAGCAAATACATATAGATATCATAATACAAAAAGATATGGTTTGGCCCCATATATTTAGCTATTTCTATCAGGATTGAAGTCGAAAGATCCAATATTTTTCTTAGACATGTTCATTCAACTTCAAATATCAGAAAGAATGGAAGACTTAATTTACTGTACCTTGCTGCTGATTCTGGGGATGAGGAAATCACATTGATTGCTCCAATCCTTTCAGCATAGAGACCAAGATTTTTACTGTATGACTGAGCCACAAGAACCTCCATACCACGTGCAACAAACAGTCTCACAGAAGCTGCATCTTCATCCAGGCTTCCACTAGCAAAGCCCTGAAATTAATAAGGCAAAATAGGTTCCAGGTCTCTTTCAAGATTTAGTCACAATGCTGAATATGTTAATGGTTTTTGACATATGCTATCAAGAAATTTATTAAGATATAGCTCATTTACCCAAAGAGCAGTACCTGGTAAGCAACATCAAAAAAGGGAATGTGGTTTTTTTCTTGAATTACATCAGCTATTTTTTCCCACTGTTCAGGTGTTGGATCAATACCAGTAGGGTTATGAGCACATCCATGCAGTACCACAAAAGATCCTTCAGGAGCTGACTGTAAAAATGTAGGAATGTACAATTGGACAGAGTTCAACCATATATTCGATTGGAGGAATCTTTAAATTAAATATGAATTTGTGTTTCTATGTATGCCTTCATGTAATAAGACGACAAGGTACAACTACTAAATCAATTAAGCATCAGATACCTTACACCGTAATGGCATTTTAATCAAAACAATTACACCAGTTGTATTTCAAGTGACAGATATTTTTGAAAACATGCATTTTGAGAAAAGATGAAAAGTGTTGAGACCTACAATGAAGGTCAAGAGGGGAAAAGCACACAAATAGAATATACTCGCATATTGGTTTCTAATTCAAAGCAGTTAAATATAACACTATTCGTTGTCCATTTCACTTGCTACATTGTGGATCAGGAATGTAACCTTTATATCTTCAATCATGCCCTCAAAATCCAAGCCAACTGTCTTGGGATCATAATATCGGTACTCAGACCATGGGACTCTAGCATCATTGAAAATATTCTTGTGATTACCTGCAAGACAATAGTGTTACCCAGGTTGTATGAAATTCCTAACAAACATAAAAGCTAACATAAACAGAGTAAGCAGTAAAAAGCACACCCCAGGTAGGAGCTGAAATCAAAACTTTTGCCCCAGCAAAATATCTTTCTATCAGAGCTGCACCTAGCCGCAGAGAACCAGTTCCGGAAAGACCTTGGACAGTGGCAACCTGGATGCAACAGGATAATGGAAGTAAGAAATAATAATAATAAAAAAAAGAAGAAGAAAAAATCAGCATAACCAATCAAACGTGATGTCCTTCAATACTTCTATATTTTCTAAATCAAATACATACTCTTTGCTGTTTGATTGCTGGGTTGCCTGCTCCAAGTAACAACTCTGCAGTTGCCTTATTAAATGCAGCCAAACCCTCAATAGGGAGATACTGCACTTACAAGTTAAAATCATACTCAATAACACATAAAGGCATATGATGTAAAGAAAATTACCTCTTTGTTATCCCCCCTCTCCAGCATAAGATTCTCTGCCTAAAAAAGAAGTTAATCTAAATCATTAACTCAACTAAAAAATAGTCTAAGGTCGGTGCTGCCTTAGAAAAGATGTTCATCTAAATCAACATTAACTCAATCAAAAAATAGTCCAAGGTTGGTGAAAAAGAAGCAGAATTAGGAACAAACGTATGACATGAGAATTGTGAAAGCCAGGGAGACTCAAATCACAGCACATAAAGTAAGGAACAGAGACCTTCTTAACAACATTAAGAACGTATGGCTGTAATTCTTCAGTTCTGTACGCCCCTACGCCAAGATTGAGCTTAACATCACTTGTGTCCGCTTTGAATGCCTCAGAAACTCCAAGAATTGGATCAGGAGGAGCCATAGGTATGCCCTCAAACCGAGAAACATTAACCGCAACAGCCATAGAGATCCGACCACTAGACTGAAAATTTTTTTGACAGAAATCATATAATATTAGCACGCTTCCATACACAGTTTCTGTTCCCTCAAACTCCCTAATCCTCCCTAACTACTTTTACTTACAAGTATGAAATGAAGAATGGGAATATAACTAATTGCGATCAATTGAATTTTGATTTAAAAAAAAATAATTTATACACCTTCAGTGTAAATCATCTTTACACAGGTAGAGACACAGACATCCAACACCAATTTATCTTTTCACCTCATCATCACATTAATAAACAGGATGGCATAAAGTAGTCAAATCTTGATGAATGTCTGCAAAAAGATGTTTCGAAGTAATGGTGTATAGAAAATAAACTCTAACAAACATTTCTACACTGAGGTTAATTTAATAAATACAATAAAAGTTGCTAAAATATTTTTTTGATCTCTCATCTCATTAATCTCCTAAACTTAAAAAGTTTCATTTGGGTCCATTCAACTGTGTCTATCTCAGACCAATTCGATATTTCCGTCAGTTTACAACACGAACTTGGTCAGTTTACAGACATTGACACATGACACACCATGAGAGATGTCACATCCTAGGCCACAAACTAGCTTAGGTTCACAATATTACTACCCAATTGATCATAAAGTAAAACAAGATAAAAATTACCAACCAAAGCAAAACAAAAAACAAAAATAAATAAAATTGAAGCAACAAGCTTTAATTTTTAGTACATACCCTTGCATGTGGAAAGGAATTGAGTCCTTTGTTAAATCTCAAAGTGTTGCCTCCAATCTTGGGCTTCCCCTGTTGGACACTAACGTTAAATCGCAAAAGGGTGATCGTTAAAACCAATGTAGGAACGATCAGAAAAAGGCACCTTGTGGGTTTGGCGCGAGCAGAGAGAAGAGGAGGGAGAGAAAGAGTGCGAAGCTGCGGAGAGAACTGAAGAAGCCATCACCTACAACAGAAAATGTTAACCAGTTGCAATGATTTAGGATACTAAAGTGTAGTAGAAAGTAAGTTTTATATTAACTATGAATAGTTGTTAAAGTTGAATAGCGTAGAGAAGACGATGATGAGATGCAGTACGTTTGTTTGTTGAATCGCTTGAAGGAGCGTAGGGAGATAGAATTGCAGGAAACAGTTAGCGATGAGAACAGAGTGAAGAAAGTTAAAGTAACCTTTCGGTTTTATCAAGTGCAAATTCTCACGGGTCCACAATATCAATCTCTTTCTATACTTCTTAAAACATACATTTTAGAATAAATGGTTAGCATTTTTATATAATTTTAGATTTGTCTTTTTTCATTTATGTAAATATTTGTATTTTATTTTAAGACACTGATAATATTATTTAAAATTAACTAAAATATTTATTTTTTATTGATTTCTATTATTATGTTAAAAGTGTTTTATATTAAAGACTAGAAAAAGTATTATTTATTACTATTATTAATAAAAATATAGATTTACTTTATGTTAAAAACAAATAAAATCTATTATTTTAGGTTATTATTCTAAACATGGTTTGTGAGGAAGTTTCCTCATAGATTCTTCCTTGTACATTACTTCTCCTATAAGTTTTTGAAACCCATAAATCATAAAGTGAGTCACACATGTAAAGTTACTATTCATTATTTTAATATTGTTGTTTTTCTATATAAGGCTTCTTAAGACCCTTATGCTGGGCAAAAGTCATTCCCTCCAAGAGCTTCCCTCTCCCTCTCCTCCTTCTCTCCTCTTCTCTTCTTTCTCTCTTATGTAATTCTTACTATATAAATAAGAGAAGCATATTCAGCATCTCCCTTCTCCTTCCCCTCTCCCGAGTAAGTTTTCTTTACTCCCCTTTTATGGAGTAGTTTTCTTATAAGAGCGTCCTCGAATGCCTCAAGCGGTATTTATTAAAAGATGCGATAATCATTTAAAGACTTAAATATTTTTGTACAGTTTTATTTTGTGTTCATATAAGCTTATGAGGTGATATCTAACCGGCTCTGTCAGATTCAGTCATCTCATAATCTTATCATGAACTTGTGTGTTTATTTTCTTGTTCTTTACTTTTCTGTCTTTAATTTCGTTCATGCGTAAGTTTATGAGGAGATGTGTAACCGGCTCTGCCAGATTTAGTCATCTCATAATCTTATAGTGAACACTTTTCTTACTATAACCGACTTTATCTCGGACAGTCATCATTTAAGTTAGTCTGGTTTCGGGTTGTCACGTGAGCTAAGTAGCCACGTTGACCTACTGAAGAGATAAAAAGTTATAACATGTTTTGGTTTATTTATTTTTCCCCTACTAGAATTTTTTGATAATAATTTACAAATAAATTATATTTATATATTTATATATTTATATATAATTAAATATTTATTTTTTAAAATTATTTAATTTAATAAATTATTATAAATTAATCTAATTATGATTAAATTAAATTATTAAATAAAAAATATTTAATTTTTTTAATTAGGTGAATAATTAATTTATTATAAGTAATTATTATATAATTTTACCAACGAATATATCCGTCAGTAATTAATTATTAATTTACCGATGGATTTACCGACAGAAATATTCGATCGGTAAATAATTATTAATTTACCAACAAATTTATCGATGAGATATATTACATCGATAACTAATTATTATTTTACCGAACGGATCCAGTCGGTAAGACCAAATTTTATATCCATCGGTAATGACTCATTTTTCAACTGCTACAAATCCAGTCAAAAATATGCAATTTTCTTGTAGTGTTTGTGATTCTTGTATTCTAAGAAGAAAGTAGAATGCTCATGCAAGAAACGTGATGAATATGCATAAATACGTACAAGGAAAAGAAGAAATGAAAAGAAGATAAAAAATAATAGAGAGAAGAAAACTATTAGAGAAAAGTATTATATTTCAATATTATTGTATATAACAAAATATCATACAAAACTATATAATAAAGTGTAAAAATAGAAAACTATTATTAGTTATAAATTGACAACCAATACCCCCTCAAGCTTGATCATAAATGTTCATGATACCAAGCTTGCGTATTATGTTGCTAATAGTCTTGTGAAAACATTTCCAACTATTAAGTTGAATCAATGGGAAGCACATGAAACAATTTGCTTCAAAGTTTCTCCCTAACCACATGACAATATATCTTTATATGTTTTGCTCTTTTAAGAAAGCTTGAATTAGAAGAAATATGTCTAGTTGAATCATTATCACAATAAAACATATCTTGTGTGGGGTTCTGAACATCAAGATCTTTGAGAAGATATGTTAACCATTAGATTTTACAAGTAGGTACTACAAGAGCCTTATATTCTACCTCAGTGGATGAGCAAGAAATGGTAGATTGCTTCTTTGATTTTCATGAAATAAGTGATGATCCAAGGAACACACAAAAACTAGTAATGGATCTACAAGTTTCAGGATATGTAGACCAATCTGAGTCACTAAATCTTTTTAATTGAATCTCTGAATTTCTTGGAAAAAAAAAACCTTGTGAAGGAGCATTTTTAATGTATAGAAAAATTATATGCACAACACGATGATGATGTTGAGTAGGCCTTTGGATAAATTGGCTAAAAGACATTGCACCACAAATCTAATATTAAGTCGCGTACCAGTAAGGTAGATTAATTTTTTTTCCATGAGGCGTTGATAGAAATCAATCCCTGTTCTAGCAAGTTTACATTCTTTGAAAAACATGAATGTTGTCCTTAGAAGGAGAGATTTCCAATCCAAAGCTTCAATTTCTTTCCTCATTGTAGTTGTCCATTCATGAGTTTTGATAACTTCTTTATATCTTTTTAGTTTTCATCTGTGGTGATAGCTAAAGTATAGCGCAAGTGCCTCATAGAAAGTCTATCATAACTAAGAACAGAAGAAAGACGATATAAACTCTTACTGTTATTAGACATATGTTTTGTTATATTAGTTATCTTATGGTGATAATCCTGAATATAAGATGACATTTTTTGTGTTCTAGTGGATCTATGCGGGTTTTGTTCAATGTTGTCATCCATGATTTATTTTTCAATGTTGGTAGGAGTGTCTATAGAATTGTCTTTGATAGGATAATCTAAAGAATAGTTAAACTCATATTTCTCCATATCATCAACAACCTATATGTTATTTTTCTCTTTGTATAGAAAAAAATCTTCATAAAAAATAACATTTTTAGAAATAGAAATTTCTATAGTTTTTATATTTAATACAATGTAGCCTTTAACACCTTTTTTATATTCAAGAAAAATTCTTTTAGCAGCACGGGCATCAAACTTTTTTCTATCCCTTTCTAATGTAGAAGCAATGCAAAGAGCACCAAAGGTTTTAAAATCATGAAAATTAGGGGGTTTATCATGTAAAAGCTCAAAAGGAGATTTCATATTCAATGTAGAAGAATGAATTCTATTTACCAAATATATAACATGTGATCTAGAAATGAATGAGAATGTTGGTGTTTCCTTTCTACAACAGGATTTTGTTATGGAGTTTTAACACAACTCATTTGATGACTAATATCAAGCTCCTTAAATATGTTATTATGCAGAAACTCATTTCTATTATTAGTTCTTACAATTTTAATTCTTTTTTCAAATTGATTTTATATTAAATTCACAAAATTAAGTAAAGCATTTTTTGTTTCCACTTTGTTATGCATCAAATAAACCTAAGTAAATCTATTAAAATCATCCACAACATTAAGAAAGTATTTGTGACCATGCACAGAGGGAACATTAAAAGGACCCCAAATATGAAGATGTACAAGATAAAAAATATCTTTAGAGTTAGTGTTACTGGTGGGAAAAGGTATCTTGTGTTGTTTTGCCATGTGACAAGATTCACAATCCTTGTTACTTTCAAAAGACATATAAGGAAAGGTATTGCTCAGTTCACGATGGATGACCCAATCTACAAAGCCAAATATCCAAATTATTTCTTTTAAGATTGTAATTCTTAATCGCATCTTTGTCAGCATTATTTTTCTGATCTCCTTGAAGATAGTATTGATCATTTATTAGTCTAACTTGTCCAATAATCTTGGATGAAGTTTTGTCTTGGATCTGACAAACATCTTGGAAAAAATTAGTGTTTCAAAGATTTTATATTAAGCATTGTACTAACACAACACAATGTTCATATTAAAGTTTGGAACAAATAAAACTTTTTCAATGTAAATATATTCTTGGAGAAAACTACTATTCCTACATGGTTAGCTCTGACATAAGAATCGTTTGGAAGTCTAATACTTATAGACTTAATTGCATAAAAACTAAGTGTAAAAGAACATGAATGATATGATCAGTTGCACCACTATAAAAAATGAGTGCTTTTCTTACCTTGATTTCTTTTAGCAGAGGAAGACTCACCGATGTAACCATTCACTTTTTTATTTGTTCCCATGTTGAATTATTGACAAGTGTACCAAAATTATCACTCGTAGTATATTATTTTGATTAAATAAAAGTCGATCCCACGAGGAACGATTTCAATAGAAATTCTCAATTTTATGCTTACTAAGTAGATTAAAATAGATTGAGTTTTGCAATAAGAGTTGAATTGAAATTAAATGACAAAGAACTGTAAATTATTGAGAAAATATCAATTAAAGGTACTTAGGATTGAGTTTCCTTCCTTATCCCTCTTTTGTAATGACTATGTCACTTAAGAACGTCAATTAACCAAACAATATTGATGCCACCTACTCAAATCATCCATATTGATTCCTCACACATGAAATTCATAAGAAAACCTAATAAATGTTGATTCCTCATACAATTAAGAGATTTTCCAGCATTAGGTTTAGGGTGTTAAGCAATTGATACATTCATTCCATTCCTGGCAATTAACGTAACAAATATTCTTACCGTGATCTAGGGTTCAAGATATATTTTCCAATCATACCCCAAACATAAAAAATAAATCATTCCAAAGCACAAAGGATAAGAATAA